TTCTCAAATCTGTCGTAAAGAGAAAAGTTACATATAATTTTGTTTTAAGTTCCATTACCGCCCTGATGGCATAACCCAAGCTGAGTGTAAGATAAAAAAAGCTTCAGGCATCTACTTGCTCAAAATAAAATCTGTTCCTGAACTCAAAAACTATTACGCTCTTCGCCGAGCTACCTAATGCCCATTTCTATAACCTCATCTTGTACACCTCAGTGAGGTTTCCTTCAGGGCTTGTGTTTTTCACTCACTGTTTTGATTTCACAGTGCAGAGGCAATTTTTTTAAGAATCATTTTCTCTGTTACAGATGTGGCTTTTGTCCACTTTCTTTTCATTTCTGAGACAGTATTCATAGCTTTATATATTTCAAAACAGAAAAGCTATTAATGACTTTGTCAGTTAGAAATTGACGCAGCAGAATCTTTGTTTTCCTGTGTTCTGGAAAAAAAAAAAAATCCACAACATACCCCTTTCCTAGAAGTGACAGTTTTTTCTTTTAGGATTCCATCTCCTTACATGTTTTGGTCTTGCTTTGTACTATAATACTTAAGAATAACTTAAAATATTAAACATGTGAGACCTGTTCCAAGATTTTCTTTTAAATCCAGGAACATGTCACTTGACTAAAAATATTTTTAACAATTTGAGGTACTTAAGTTGGAAAGCAAAATTAGTAAACAAAACATCGTTGTTGAATCCTCAGCAGCAAACAGGAGACAAGCCAGCAAATGGAATCTTACTCCCTATGAAGTAGGTCACAATGTGATCAGATTGTCTTCAGTGACTCACTCATTGGAGTCTTTTTCCTGAAAACTAGCCCATAAAATAGCCCATAACTAGATTACAACCAATAATTGGAAAATTACGGTGTCGCTGAAACTGTTACTAGTATTTTTTTTGGTTTCTTATCCATGTCAATTACCGGTCCCCAAGGAAAGGGAAAATATACTCGAATTGCTTAGTGGAATGGAGAAAAAGCTGGAAACAATCTAGTGATACTTGTTGACGTCCTTCTCATAGATAACAGGAAAGCCACTCTTGCTTGCTCTTTGTAGGAAGGAGGGAGAAGGCAGGTCTCTGTGCCACGAGATTGGCTTTAGAGATTAGGAAGAATTGCTGAGGTTGTAAACAGTGAAATCCCTTTCTGGGAAGAGAATGGTCTTTTATCCAGGGCTATTTGAAAACAGGACAGATCCTCTCTCTCCCACAGTTCCGATGTGAACAGAGAATGATTAAATTGTTTCTTCCAGCTGGATGAGTCTGTAGTGTGAGCTTGGAACTCGTGAATGGCTGGGGAAAACGGAGCCACAAAGGAACACATGTTGGGAATCAACTATCCACCGGTGGAGTTGAGAGGCAGCTGTCGTGGGTCTTTAGCAAGAACACCTGTTTAGGGACGTGATGGCATATAGTTTTATGTGAGCCTCTGTACGTAACTTTTTGTCTCTTCTCTCTCTGCACTACTAACTTACGTCTTTCTATATTTTATCTATTTGTAATAGCACACTTAAACCCTTCTGCAAAAAGAAGGGACATCATTGAATAAAATAAATCATATCAACTGAAGTTTCAAGGGCCTTTTTTTTTGTGCCAGGAGTCATGCCAGTTCCAGAGGCTATAAAGAGCAGGGAACGCTGGCTTGAAGTCTTCACTGCTTAGGGATGTGAGTGAACTGGTCGGCTAGCAATAATTCAGTAGGAGTCTCTCCAGGGGAAGGGGATTCCTGTGGGATTGCAGAGCCAAGGCCCACATTTTGGGGAATCGGAAGAAGGTACAAGGGGAGGTTATAACAGAGTTGGTGCTGGGGCAGAATCTTAAAGCAGAAATACAATTTTTGCAAGTACAGATGGGAAGGGTGTGGACAAAGACAGGGGTGGGGAGGGTGGGGGAGGGCGGTGTTCAAGGAGCAGCTTTGAAGCTCCCCTTCTTATTCTGGGCAAATGCCATTCCTCCAATCCACTCAATTACCGACAAATGTCTTCCTTGGCTAATGTTTCCTTCTATGCCTTTGTTCCCACCACCTGGACAGTGAGCACTGGTGTAATTTGAATTTCAGGGGAGTTGCCTGGTTTCCAGGGAAGTCTAATAAAAATACCACAGCAGAAATGTCTTCAACAAAAGAAAAGCAATCCATAATCTTTTGTGAGGCCCCCGGCTGATACTACATCGATAAAATTCCCTCGGCCTCAACATTAATACAAAAACATCCTATTCAAGCACAGACCTTACAGATAAAGGGAGCATTTCACTCCAAAAAATTGGTATATAGGGTACATTTATAAATACACTAGACCGTTTAAGCTTGGCATTTCAGTTTTGTAACTGCGGGGCCGTGACTTGGGAAAAAATCTGGGGTTTGGTTGCAGGAGGAATTAATTGTGAGGTCTCTGGGAATGATGTGAGGGGACCCTTGGCTAGTGAGTGAGCCTGGCCGATTGGTCCAGAACATATGTTTCGGTGAGGCTTTCTTAGTAAAGCAATAGCAGTAGTGTTTTAGTAGATTTTTATTTATTAAGTGCTTGTTATGTCAAGAGCTTGGTTTGCGTTCTCTCAGTAAGTTCTGACACCAACCCATTTAAAATAAGGAAACTGAGGACCAGGAAGATCAAGTAAAACGTCTAGGGATACTCAGGTTGGAGTTTGGAAGGTGCTGCACCAACTTTGGTTTAACCTGTAATCATAAACTTGACTACTTACTTGCAAGTTGTTTTTATTCTCCATAATAATACTATAAGATGTTATTTGTCCACATAAAGTATATATGAGCTGCAGAAATGTCATGCTCTAGCCGCAGCCTTTCTTTTTTGGAGGTGTCTGGGCAAAGTCCACTGGAGCATGGGCAGGCTAGCGATGTCCTCTCTGAACTGCCCAGAAGAGCCAGGGGGCCTGCTGAGTGTGTGGATGGCCCAGGCTCCTGGGCTTTGCCTGTCTTTCCGAGAGGAGGACTGGTTTCCAGGTGACACTGGTCTGCCCATATTCATACTGTTGCAATGACAAGCATTTAAAACAAAACAAAAAAACCCCAAAACCAAAAAAAAAAAAAAAAAAGACCATATGGTGTCAGTAGTGTGATGAGCTGCTTTCTGAAGTCTGGGCTCTTCTGCCTATAGTAATGCCATGGTTTCTGCCAGGGAGGCCTGAGGAATTCCTAACGAGAGACTCAAAGAAGGAACGGATAGACCTGCCACATGGCCATTAAGGCCTGAGATGGAGAATGCCAACAGCGTGCTTCATCAGGTTAATGGACTTTTTACAAGAGCCCTGGTCTTGGAGGATGGGAAAAGCACAGGCCTGAGTGACTGCTGAACAGACTTATGTAATCTCAAGAGCAGAGGGGACGGCCACTGAGGCCTGGGCCTCGTGACCCGTAAACAGAAACTTGGTTTGATGGATGTGTGCAGTAAGTAATTCTCCTGGGATCGAAACTGCATGAGTCAACCCGTTTTCAGGCCTTAATCTTCTCTTCTGTTGTCTTTTGGGGGGTTTTGTTTTGGTTTTGGGTTTTTTTTTTTAAGAGCAAGCGAGCAAGAGCAGGGAGTGATAGATGGAGAGGGAGAGACAGAACCTGAAGCAGGCTCCATACTGGGTGTGGAGCCTGACTCAGGTCTTGATCTCACCACCCTAAGGTCATGACCTGAGCTGAAATCAAGAGTCTGATGCTTGACTGACCCAGCCACCCAGGCACCACCTTAATCTTCTCTTCTTGAAAATGAAAGTGTTCCTGGGGCACCTGAGTGGCTCAGTGGGTTAAAGCCTCTGCCTTCAGCTCAGGTCATGATCCCAGGGTCCTGGGATTGAGCCCCACATGGGGATCTCGGCTCAGCAGAGAGTGTGCTTCCTCCTCTCACTTTGCCTGCCTCTCTGCCTACTTGTGATCTCTGTCTGTCAAATAAATAAATTCAATCTTAAAAAAAAAAATGAAAGTGTTCCTATTTATAGACCAGCATGTACTTTTATAGGCAGGTTTTATGGCCAAAATGATACATTTAAATGCCTATTTTAATATACTTTGATGAAGTCAGAATCACCCTTCCTTGTTTCGAAAAAGGGTCTCTTGTGTAAGTTCACGATGATGTTTCTCCCCCATGTTTTAAGACTTTTTAAAAAAATTTTATTTATTTATTTGAGAGAGAGAGAACAGAAATAGGGAGAGAGAGCATAAGCAGGGAGGAGAGGGAGAAGCAGGCTCCCACTGAGTGGGGAGCCTGACATCGGGCTCCATCCCAGGACCTTGGGATCATGACCTGAGCGGAAGGCAGTCACTTAACCGACCAAGCCACCCAGGCGCCCCTCCCCCACGTTCTAAAAGCCATCTGTATCCAGAACAATCCAGCTATTATCGCTGTGTATCCACTCAGCTCATATGAAGTGCTCAGTGTTGTGAACAGTACAAAGCTTGCCTTTTCCTCATCTGATCCAGTGGTTTCTACAGTAACATTGGCTCCAAGGGAGTCCTCATCCTATGAGATTGGATTTTGTTGAAAATTACGGTGTTGGGAGATCCCTAGGTATTGGAGGTCCTTAATAGAAATCCCAGAGGACTGGGGACATTCTGTAGGGCAGAGAGTTGTAATGGGGAGAGTTGTAATGCAGGGACCACCTCTGATTCTGGGCTGTGTGTAGGGTGTTGAATCCTGGTGGGATCACTAAAATGTTCAGTGATAGTAACTGTGATCTGCCCTAAAGAAGGATAAAACTTGTTCTCAATGAATTGGTGCTGGATTTCTCAAGAGATGGCTGTTTGTCTGGGGTGGTCACTCCGCCTAAGCCATCTGGGCCTTCTGAGACCCTGGGGCTAGAGGGAGTGAGGAGAGACAGACCCCAGCCGAGAGTGGCAATGCCCAGCCCCTTGGTGAGCTTGCATTCTTGTTCCTGCCTCCGCTGTGTGAAGCCTGAGCCGGAGTTCAGACCTTCCTCAGAGGGCTGCTCACTCACAGCTCATCTCCCTGTGAAGACGGGATCAGGTCTCACACCCCCACTCATTGTCTCTTTGCCCCCACAGAATCTGTACCAGAACAGGTTCTTAGGCCTGGCTGCCATGGCATCTCCATCCAGAACCTCCCAGAATCGACGCCGGTGCAAGGAGCCGCTCCGTCACAGCTACAACCCCGGCCAGTTCCACAGCATGGCCATCAGGAACGGCCCCCATGGCACCGTCACCATCCCCCGCTCCACCAGTGACACCGACCTGGTCACCTCGGACAGCCGCTCCACTCTCATGGTCAGCAGCTCCTACTACTCCATAGGGCACTCGCAGGACCTGGTGATCCACTGGGACATCAAGGAGGAAGTGGACGCCGGAGACTGGATTGGCATGTATCTCATCGGTGAGTCAGATGCACTTAGCAGGACCAGCCCGCAGTGTGCTGCAGACAGAAGGGTCTGGACACCGTGGTTTGGCTGTTCAGCAAGTGTGTGGTTCACAGTGCCCTTTTATGTATGCTTTCATATGTCACAGACTCACACAGCTTGCAGTCACCTGTGTCACATACACAACAGATTCTAACATACTGCAGACCAGGTACTGAGGCTTCTCTTGCTACCTCCATTCAGTGGAAGAAAATCCTAAGATGGAAGGGCCGGGTGTGCTTGGAAACAAACGTCATTACCATTGGCAAGTGTAGAAGCTCTTCTACTTATGAATAAGTTAGCATTACAAGCCTTTTGTTAAGTCCGTATGTTCCTAAGACCAAAGCAACACCATACACACGAGCGATGTGCTCCCATTTCCGTAGAGGGAATTTCACTCTTTCCAGCATAGTGGGGCACCTCTTCTCACCTGCTCTTTCCATGTTCTTACTGCTCTGTATTCAAAAGATGTCACTGGATTCGATGTACAGTGAGAGCGAGCACACGGCAGGCTGAGGAACAGAGTGGTAGCTGAGAGGAGAATGCACAAGTCAGCAGATCTCACAAATTTGAACTCACCTGAAACATGGATTTAATCTTTTGTTCCTGATAGAATCGGATGTGCTGGAAATCGGTGCATTTACGAAGCGAAGTTGTGGTTGCTGCGGGGGGGGCGTCGTGGTGGTCTCTAGAGTCAGGCATCAAAGTCGGGAGGCCAGGCCTTCTGCTGTCAGTTTGTGTGCGGAGCAATTTACACATTCAGGGGCGCCCAATGACTCAGTCGTTAAGCGTCAGCCTTCGGCTCAGGTTATGATCCCCGGGTCCTGGGATCCAGCCCCGCATCAGGCTCCCTGCTTGGCGAGGAGTCTGCGTCTCCCTCTTTCACTCCCCCTGATTGTGTTCATTCTCTCGCTGTGTCTCTGTCAAGTAGATAAATAAAATCTTAAAAAAAAACAAACTACACATTTGGACACAAAATGCCCAATTTAATATCATGAAGTATCACAGAAACCAGTGGATTTTATGAGTATTTTACGACCTGTTTTTCTGATAAAATAAAGGGGATCTTATTTAACTGACTAGCTATCAGGGAAATATTTTTAGCTCTCTTAAAGGTTTTGAAATCTGCTTGGCTGGTGTATTTACAATAGACTCTTTGTTATAAAGACGGAGAAATGTAATTTTTGAAATTTGTATGCAAACAGTGGTTACTAGATCAATTGGACTTAGGTAAAATTTAATTTGCTTCAGAATAGTTCTTGAGTAAAATTGTTTGGATACCATCAGACTACAACAGAGCTTGTAAAATAAGAGCCCCCCAAGCATATTTTTAGTCCATATTATTTTAAATTTGATGAGTTACCAACACTGTAAAGTATAGAGATTTCACAGTGAAATCCAGATTTCTAGCTTCTTTCACAAAAGCCCTCAATTTGGCAGCCCGAGCCCATAATTCTACTTGGCTTTAGTTCACCAAAGTTAAGCATTAGTTGCTTTGGGTAGCCTATCTGTACCCTTCAGTCTTTCCACAGTCTCCCTCCCATCCGTCCCTACCTTCATTCATTCATTTTGGATGTTACTTGTTTAGCAACTTAGGCAATTAGATTTTTGACCACAGATCTGTTTCTGAAGCAACTCTTTAAAGCTGTACCTTCGTGCAGTGCCATTCATTCCCCGGCCAGGGAACCGTTGGAGGAGGAGCATGTGATGGGGGGAAGGTGTGACACCCAAGGACATTCATCCAAAGTGAAGGAATGGCTGGATCTGGAGCTCAGCCCTAAATCCGGGCTGGGGGTGGAGGCTTCAGGTAATGGGCCCCCCAAGAGTTGATGAGGTCACCGTGGATTGTGTAGAAAAGAGCACCAGCAAGCCTCTGTCAGAGACAGGGGCAGCGGACGCACCCACAAAGGAGGTAGAGGAGGGGTGGAGACTTAGGATCAAACTAGGAGACCACGTCACAGAAGTCAAGAGAAGGTGGCAGAGGAAGGAAGGAGTGGTCAGCAGCATCGAATGTCGTGAAACTCTGCGAATGAATCAGATCCGGTGTTAACATGACATTTTGACTAAGACAAAAGTAAACACAGCTCATCATCTTAGAATCTTAACTTGACAGTTTGTTCTCCTCATAGTAGCTGCATATATATAACTGTGAAGTTATTTAATGCAGAACGCCAACACTTTAGGCAACATAGCATTTCAGAAATAATTTCCAAATCCAAAATTATCTGGGAGTTTTAAGAGTTCATAATTTGTAGGTCCTTAGTAACGTATCTGTCACATTCGCAGTGCCTTGCCAAAGATCAGATCATTGATGTAGACCTAACACTTTAGAGGTGATGATTTAATTTAGTCTGTCATTTCGCCATGGAAGTGAGTCCAGTGCAGTGGCTCTCAAGGCCACAGAGCTGCCTGGCCTGGTCTCAGACCCCATGCTGCCCATAGGAACATCTCAGCACATCCTGGTGCAGTATCCAGTGGGGGCCATTCTATATCCAAGGAAAACCGAAATGCCCATGGGAGGCCAGGTTTGGGATGCTTTCAGCTCTGACCTTCAGGCTCCCCAGGCAAACATGACTGGGGAGAGAGTGAGACCCCTGGATGTGGAGGGGGATGTGTGGCCTTCCCACTGATCCCAGTGCTGTCCTTAGCCAGGAATGCAGTGGAGTCGGGGGCAGTAACAGGAGTATCCCTGTTATTATTATCATTGGTGAAATCCCATTTAGCTGCCGTCCTTTAGGGAGTGGTTCGTGAGCTTGATACAGTGTAATGAAGGATTCTCTCTCCTAGTGACACAGAATGGGGAAAGATCACATGGTTTCAGTGACAGCATGACCTTGTTTAGAATCCTGTCCTGTGGCTGGCCAGAATGTATGGCCCCAGCTAGGTATCATCGTCAGAGCTCCAGGTTTCCTATCCAAAATAGAGGAGAAAACAGGACTTTCTTCTAGAATTACTGAACTGAACTGGTGAGACATTTAATGCACATTTAATGCCTGTTGATCGATACTTCATGTCTTGATCTACCTTGTCAGGGAGCTCTAGTCTCTGGGTGTGGGATCACAAATTACCTTAATTCCCAAACTTTGTCCTGAGGCTGTATCCTCATTTTGCCCAGTTCCATAGCAGCTGAGGTAACAATGGTAGCAGTTTCCAAGAACCTTGCAGCGCAAGGATTCTGATACATTCAAGTTTCAGTTCACAGGGCGCCTTGCAAACCAAGGACTTTTCTCTCTCTCTCCTGTGTATTTAATATGTGGAAAGTTTAATCAAGTATATTCTGATTTTTTGTCTCTTCTGATTTTGGAATGCAGTGTGTCAAAATTGCTAGTAAAAAATGTATAAATTTTAATCTTAATTTATCTATCTCTACCTTCACTTCTGCAGACTCTATGCTTTGTATATGTTGCTGTGAATTACCCGCTACATAAATGTTTCATATCTTTTTTCTACTACCATTTCTTAGTTTATTATTACAGATCTGTCTGTGTTCCTTGTGCTACTCTTTGCCTTGAATTCTTTTTTTTTAAACTATTTAAGATTAGTCTCTCAGTTTCCTTCTGCTTCATATTTGCTTAATCTTTTACTTTATTTTCAGACTTCACCTTTTCTTTAAATGTAGCATTTGTGTATGCTTTTATATTCTGATCTAGGAGTCTCTGGATTTTAACTGGCCAGAACAGCACTTTTCCGTTATTGTCTTGACTGTTACATGAAGATTTATTTTTATCATTTCTTCATATTCCTTATCTACTGCGTTTTCTTTTTGTTTCTTTTCTTCTTTCCATTAGATTGATCTATCAATCTAAAAATTACATTTTTCTTATTGTCCTTATGATGAGTGCTTTTAATCAGAGACCAGACGTTCTCAATCAAGGGTGTTTCTGCCCCCATTCGATAATCAGAAGGCAGGAGTTCCTCTGAGAAGTGGAAGCCAGGTTGCATTTTCTTTGTTGGGCTTAGATGTAGTGCATCAGTTGTCCTTTCTATCTGTGCTTCCTTGTCCATGCTGCTGTCAGCAGCGGTAGTCTTTTCTATTACAGATTAGGGTATAGAAAGCATAGCTCGTATGCTTTCATTTTGAAGACAAAGCAAGAGAAGTACATTTCATTTTTCCCAGGTGTGCTGTTTCAGTAAACTTCACTAGAACTTTCTAATACAAATTTTTAACAACCTGTAAAGATCTTTTCTCTATTATAGACTGGAACAGGGAGTAGGAGAAATAAATATCATTCAGCAAATATAATCTCTTTTTGAGAAACTTAATACATCTCTATGTGTTCTGTACAAAATGAGTAATGACAAAACTTTAAACAGCACTGGCCTAAGCTAATGTTTCAGGTTATTATTAATGGTTTTGCATGTGCATCATAGAGCTTTGCCATAGAGAGCCCTATTGTTAGCCCAGACTGTAAACAGAAGTGTCTCCTCACTGGTGATGTCTGACACTGATCTAAGACCACTCCCTGTATTATTCATTCAGTCTTGAAGACAACAGACTTTTGGGGCAGGCATTGATAATATACCCAGGTTGTAGTGAGGAAGGAAAGACACAGAGGGATTAAATAAGATGCGTAAAATCACATACCTACTAAGGTACCTAGCCTTCCTTCCTCAAGGGGCTGTAAATTTCCCTGTAACCACACAAACATTGTTCCCAAAAAAGACTTCCACCATGACAAAGAATATGGAAAAAAAAACTTTGGGACGTAGGGTCTAGGGGCTGCCAGTCCTCAGGGTGGCAAAGGGCCTGGTTGGGCCCCCACCATCCATTTCAGGCCTCTTCTCTTCTCCACTGCCGCCTTTTAGTGCAGAATCTGGTCCCAGCACCTTAAATGTCTCTGACTCCTGAACAGCCGTCTTCAGATGCATGCTGGTCCCCTTGTCAGGTGCACTTAAGCAAGATGGGGAAGGAGGACCTGAGCTCTGGGGATCCCCCTACTGGTTAGCCGGTGACTGAGAAATTCAGCTTTCCACCAGGATGCCTTATGCCTGCTCCCTCTCTTCAAGGTGGCGGGTACTCATTGGGCCCTGGGCTGGTCGTGGTCTAGTAGGGCAGCAGCCCCCTGCTGTGTTCTTTGTGCTACTCTTTGCCTTGAATTCTCAGCTCATGGGCTGCAGCTGCTCTGTGAGGAACTTAGCAGTTCCCACAAGGCTTCTGTGAGCGAGGCAGGAGCTGGGCCTTGGAGTTTTTCTGTTATTCTGGGGCTGTTCTCAGAGGCCCGGCCTAGCGTCCATGTCTCCAAAACCTAATTCTCTGCATTAAAATACCCTTCTGCATGAACTATCTGGACCGATTCTGTTTTTCTGCATCTGACCCCCACAGTACATTTGGATTTCCAAGCAAAGACCAGTAACTTTTCTAAAAATTGGCCATAAATGCCCTTGGGGAAGGAGCTGACCTCTCAGCACAGATGGACCAGACAAGAATATAGACTATTCTCTTTTCTGGTGTGGTATCTGTTATGAAGTATTGTCAGTGCAAGAGAATGGTCTATTTATTAGGAGCAGTTGACGGTCTCTTAAAATGTGTCCTTTTTTTTTTTCTTTTTTTTTTTTAGTGTTTTCATGCAATCAACAAATATTTATTTATTTTCTTTTTTTTTTAATTTTTAAATTTTTTAATAAACATATAATGTATTATTAGCCCCAGGGGTACAGGTCTGTGAATTGCTAGGTTTACACACTTCACAGCACTCACCATAGCACATACCCTCCCCAATGTCCATAACCCCACCACCCTCTCCCTATACCCCTCTCCCTGGCCACCCTCAGTTTGTTTTGTGACATTAAGAGTCTCTTTTGGTTTGTCTCCCTCTCAAATGTGTCGTGTTTAAACCTGTACAACCACATGGATCTTGTTCTCTTTATTTTGCCATCCTAGTTCAGTCTTTTCTGATTCTTCCCCCCTACTCAGCCCATCCTTTTCTCATTTGTGGCCCTGGGCTTTCTTGATATTTAACCCATTCTTATACTTACTATAATCAAGTGACATTGTCTGTTTTCTTGAATAAATCCCCAAATCTGTTAGAAACTTTCTGGGAACATAGACCATATCTTACTTGCCAGTATGTCCCCACAGTTTAGAATGTTGCCTGAAGAGGAGGAAATCTTACACCATCGACTAATGCATGAATGAACACCTCCCTTCTAGGTATTAGTTACGTGGACATCTGTTTGTAACTGTTAAAATGAATATTCTGGTGATCAGAGTGGATAGATTCAAGTAAATACCTCTCCTTAGAGAATTGCCATAATGAGACAAATCTCTATCTGGATGTGAGACTCGTTATATCTGTACTGAAGACCCAGGGAGCTAGGAAAATATTACAACTTTTTTTGCAGAAAGGAGGCAATTACTCTAAAAGACAAATTATGCAATCATCTTAGTAACCTAACCAGGGATGTGAGCACACACTGTGAATATCAAGACTGGCAAATGTTGCAACCAAGTGATTTTCCCGAGGGATACAAAGAGTTCTTGTTATTAATGAAGCAGAGGTAGTGTTGCTTTGCCCAATCATCTTTGCCAAAGAAGAGATAGCCAAAATGTGCAATCAGCATGGCAGGTCACAAGCACATTGACCAGCTATCTCATTTAATCCTCCACTAGGAGGTCCTAGTTATTAGGATTCCACCGCCCCGTCCCCCCCAACTTTGCAGATGATGCCATTGGTACATGGCACAAAGGGCCTTGAGAGCTGGGTCCTTCAGCTACAAGCCCTGCCATCATTCTAGCCTGTTCTTCAGTCCATTCAGATACAGGATGTGAACGTCAGGATATCCTAGTTGCAAAAAGGATAACCATGACCTAGCTGCTTTCTGTAGAGGAGCCCCTGAGTTCCTCTTTTCCTCCCATCACTGTGGTCGATTTGGATTCTCAAGTACGGTTTCCCCACAGCCTCAGATCCATCCAGCTTAAGTGGTTACATTCTGGTGAAGAGGAAACCGCCAAGGGCACCACGGATGATCAAAGTAAAATTCATATCTCTGTCTTAGTCTGCACCGAAAACATGAGGTCTAGAGCCAGAGAGGAGGAAGTCAGCCGGGTCTTCAGAGATCTGTCCTCTCCAGGAATGCTGTGTTCCTCTCTGGACACCGGCTGTAGGAAGGGTATTGACTGTTGCACTGTACTGAGCAGAAAAATAGCAGGAAAGAAAAAGTACATCGTCTCCCCACAAGCTCCTCTCAGTGCTACCAGGCAGGAGGCTCTCCCTGAGCTTGAGCCCGGGACACCACATCAGGACCTCTCTCTTTGCCCTCCACACATCCACCTTCATCTCTGCCCTTGTGGCTTCTTTACCCCTCAGTACTTCCCTGAACCCCTGCTGGCCTCCCTCCTCCCTCCTCCCTCCTTGAAATTTCCCATCAGAGCACCCTGATCTTTTCCTTCCTATCCCCCATCACAGATTGTAATAATACCTTTATTTCTCTACTTGGTGTTTCAAGTCTGTATCCTCAGTTGCTTGTAAACTTTAGTTCAAAAAGGACCATCTTGGTTTTGCCCAACTGTGGCTCCTGCATATTCCCCAGCATGACAGACGGTTGGAGCTCAATAAGTATCTGTTGAATGAATAGATGAATGTATGAGTGCGTGAAGGATGGATGGACACATCCATGGACAAGTCCCAGGTATTACAGGATGATAGTATTCAGGCTGGAGAAGAAATGCTATTGGTTGGAGCCTGTGATGATTGGGACCCAATAGGAAGTGTGATTGGATGTTTTCCTTGTGGCTCATTCACAGACTCCCATAGAGACCAGCTACTGAAAGTTTTAGGGAGATTTTCACACTCAGATTTCACACATGGAAGGGCTGTTCAAAAGTGAAATGGATCGCCACAGGAGCAATCATTTTGTGTTCTGGGAAGTGTTCACGAACCAGCTAGATGAGCTTAGGAGTATCGCAGAGTGGGGAGGAGTCTTGCATTATAAAGGGGTTGGTTCAGAGAGTATCTGAGGATATTTCCAGCATTCTGATTCTGATTCCAGGTACTTTTTCTTCGGCTGAGTTGGCCGAAAAAGTACTTCGGCCTTAATATCCTTTGCTCTTTTTCTTTCTTTGTTCTAAATAGGCTGTAAGCTAATATATTTCTCTGTTCTGCTATTCATTTAGATGAGGTCTTGTCAGAAAACTTTCTGGACTATAAAAACCGTGGAGTCAATGGTTCTCATCGGGGCCAGATCATCTGGAAGATTGATGCCAGCTCTTACTTTGTGGAACGTAAGTACTTTTGCTATTCTTGTTGCTCAGGATAAAGGAGAGTTCAGCTGCGTTTTTGTTGTTGTTGTTCATTGCATTGCCTCCCCTTAGAAATGTGCCATGTAAGAGAGCCATAGGTTTATGAAGTGCTTAAAAATAAGAAGAAGTAAGCTCTGGGTTAGTTGGGCAACAGCCATCCAGACCAGCCCAGGGGGCCGTTCCTTTTCATTTCAAAGAGAAGTTTGGCTCATAGTCATTCATAGGCCTCTGCATTCAAGACCTTTTGGCTTAAATCCCTTAAATCCCTTAACTTTCCCGCTGTGGCTCCTCCCGGTGCTAACCTTGCAGTAGCTGCCCTGCTGTATCTTATCATCCAGTTTTTGGCTTGACAGGTTCTTCAAGGCTCCCTGCTCATGGCCCCACCATGCTGGGGATGTTCCTCGTGCTGCCCTGACCTTTGAATCTGGCCACAGTTCCCCAGCGCGCGGATGATCCATTACTACCAACAACCTGTTTCCTTGACTCCTGATTTACTGACATTTCTGGGTTTATAAACTTGTCATCATGTATTTACTGAGATATTTCCGAAACTTTCTTTCTTTGAAAAAAATCATTCTTACAGTGAAAGAAGGATTCTTCTCATAGGTCCCCATATTGATGCATTTCCCATTGCATGAAGAAATAGCCTTGTGGGCCTCATGTTTACCAGCTGAAGGAATGCACAGTTTACCCTTATCTCCAAGTCCTTCCCTTCCCACTTGGGTACTGGAGAGTGCTGAATGTGCAAATCCTTTCTGGCACCTTCTTGTTCATAGCCGGGATTCAGGCAGTGTAACTCTTCTGAAAGGCAATGATGAGATACTCCCTTGTTCCAACCTTCCTGTTCTCAGAGGAAAGCATATGTGGCCAGGAACCTAGAGTTGTCTGTTATCATTGGACTCGTTGTTCAAGAAAAACTGTATGCTTTCAATGCTTATGTTTTGCTGCCATTTTTATTCACTCTCATTTCCATTCATCCACTCAGTAAGCATTTTATAAGACCTACTATATTTCAAAGATGAGGGATTTGAAAATGAAAGGTCTAGTGTCTGTCCATTAGAAGCTTATGGCATCTCTCCTCCTAGAAATGACACAAATGCTCCCTTATTTTGCATTAGCACCTGCAGAATGTGTAGACGGGCGATTTGATACTGTCAGCTGTAGAGGTGAAATGATTTTATGACATGTGGTTGGCCCCTTGACTTTGGTTTAGTCATAATGAAGTTCCCAACAAGAGACTTCCTTTTCCTTAATATTTAGCTCCCTGACTCTAGCTTTCCTCCTCCTAATCCATTTTGCATGTTAATACCAGGCAAAATGCCTTGAACTCAACTCTGATACCATCTGGCCAAAAGCCTCATGGCTCTGTTTTCTGATTTCATGGACTGAAACTTCTCCGCCCTGCTTTCAAGACCAAATAAGACCCACTCTCCTCCCTCAGCCCCCTTCTCCATCCTCCCCAGCATGCCCTCCTTTGCCCAAGTCATGCCAGTATCTTCCCCATCCCACAAATAGTATCATTGATCATGAAAGACATAGATGGGCTTGATCTGGGGATAACGATGGGTTCCAGCTAGCAGTCCCTAGTGTGACTTCCCAAATGGTAAGAACAAAAAAGGTAAAAACTTGCATTAGTAATGAATATTAGACACAAGAACTGACTGTATTCTCTAGTCTGTGTTGGAAGTTGGATGGAGAGGCCGTCTTTACTGTACACCTGTTATCTTCTTTGGAGTTCTAACTAATTGAGAAAGAAGCCATTTAGGGTCAAAATGTAGTATCAGCTCAAAACGGTGCAGGAAGGAGCACATCCTACAAGTATATGTTTTTTTAGAGACAAGGAAATAACTTAAGGACAATGTGAAATTTTATGAGCTAATGTGAAAAAGTGGGTTGTATATAAATTAATCTAGCAATAGTGCTGTTCTTTCATTTCAAATAGCAAACCATTTAATATAATTGTCTTCATCAGGAGGATGAAGAGACACTTAAAGTGCCACTAGAGAGATACTATAACATAAAGCCAGCTCTGTAAATTACACAAAATACTGTCATAATTGAGTAAAAGTGTATTCAAACTCGGTTAAGTAGCAACGTCCTAGAATAAACAAATGGCTTGCCAGGTCATATTCAAAAATAACTAAAAATGGAACACGTCAGAAAAATGACATTTTGCAAACGTCTTGGTGCAAACTTGAGAAGGTCTCGCTGGGCAGTGCACCTGCTGGACTAGAACTATCTCAAGTGGATGAAAGTGAAATTGAGAAGGTGGTTGCAAATACATCAAAGCTGTGTTCAATGTACGGAGAATGTATTATTCTGTACAAATGTAATCTAATGTGTCAAAAACGAAAAATTTATCAAGAAAAAACTTAATTGAGTTTGCAAATGATGAGAATCTTAACTCTGGGCACACCTATAAATCAAGTAAATTAAAACGCGGTAATGGATAATAGCTTTAGGAGTCTGAGTACATTAAAACTGTATATAATATGCTATGTGAATTCATATTTTTAATGTGAAATAATTGATATTTTCAAAATGTATTGGAAAAGTGCCAGGTTAACAAATAGGAAGGGTTTGAATGTACAAAATGTTCTGATATGGCTATCTTTCCTTAATGCAATAAAAGCATCAGAGGTCCTCTTGCTATAATAAAAATGCAGAAGCCAGGCCATTACCCGGAATGTTACACAAGTTTTTGATATTAATAAAAATCAGACTCCTATAGTCTCTAAATAGTACTAAATGCATTAATCTAATTGGTAAATTATACCATCTTAAAATTAAAATCTATTCTACAAACAGCACATGGGCCAGATTTTAAATGTTGAAATAGGACAGAAGACCATTCTTTTTATTTGAGGATTAAATTAAAATAATAGATGAGGTTTTTATTTTATTTTTATTTTCTGTTTTTATTTTTGTCCTTTTCTAGGAGTAGAGATATATCGCAGATTACCTGGGATCTGTAATGTTCTAATAGTACATTTCTTTGGAGTCATGATTCAATTTAGAATTAGGAAATTGCTATTGATTTATATAATTTTTCTTAAGGTCTGACTAAATCAGATTTTGAAAGTACTACTAAATGAGGACCATTCAAAACAAGCATTTCCTGCACTCTTCAAGGAGTTACATGCATGATAAAACACAAAAGAAAGGTTTCATTTTCTCTGGCATATTTTTCCCCTAGTGGGCTGCTTTTTTTTTTTTTTATGTTTAATTTTTTTTTTAATTTTAATTTTTATAAACATATATTTTTTCCCCCAGGGGTACAGGTCTATGAATCGCCAGGTTTACACACTTCCCCACACTCATCATAGCACATACCCTCCCCAATGTCCATAATAACCCCATCCCCCCCCAACCCCCCTCCCCCCAGCAACCCTCTGAGATTAAGAGTCACTTATGGTTTATATCCCTCCCAATCCCATCTTGCTTCATTTACTCTTCTCCTACCCCCTTAACCCCCCATGTTGCATCTCCTCTCCCTCATATCAGGGAGATCATATGATAGTTGTCTTTCTCCGATTGACTTATTTCGCTAAGCATGATACCCTCTAGTTCCATCCACGTCGTCGCAAATGGCAAGATTTCATTTCTTTTGATGGCTGCATAGTATTCCATTGTGTATATATACCACATCTTCTTTATCCATTCGTCTGTTGATGGACATCTAGGTTCTTTCCATAGTTTGGCTATTGTAGACATTGCTGCTATAAACATTCGGGTGCATGTGCCCCTTCGGATCACTACGTTTGTATCTTTGGGGTAAATACCCAGCAGTGCAATTGCTGGGTCATAGGGTAGTTCTATTTTCAACATTTTGAGGAACCTCCATGCTGTTTTCCAGAGTGGTTGCACCAGCTTGCATTCCCACCAACAGTGTAGGAGGGTTCCCCTTTCTCCGCATCCTCGCCAGCATCTGTCATTTCCTGACTTGTTCATTTTAGCCATTCTGACTGGTGTGAGGTGGTATCTCATTGTGGTTTTGATTTGTATTTCCCTGATGCCGAGTGATATGGAACACTTTTTCATGTGTCTGTGGGCCATCTGGATGTCTTCTTTGCAGAAATGTCTGTTCATGTCTTCTGCCCATTTCTTGATTGGATTATTTGTTCTTTGGGTGTTGAGTTTGCTAAGTTCTTTATAGATTCTGGACACTAGCCCTTTATCTGATATGTAGTTTGCAAATATCTTCTCCCATTCTGTCAGTTGTCTTTTGGTTTTGTGAACTGTTTCCTTTGCTGTGCAAAAGCTTTTGATCTTGATAAAATCCCAATAGTTCATTTTTGCCCTTGCTTCCCTTGCCTTTGGCGATGTTCCTAGGAAGATGTTGCTGCGGCTGAGGTCGAAGAGGTTGCTGCCTGTGTTCTCCTCAAGGATTCTGATGGATTCCTTTCTCACATTGAGGTCCTTCATCCATTTTGAGTCTATTTTCATGTGTGGTGTAAGGAAATGATACAATTTCATTTTTCTGCATGTGGCTGTCCAATTTTCCCAACACCATTTATTGAAGAGGCTGTCTTTTTTCCATTGGATATTCTTTCCTGCTTTGTCGAAGATTAGTTGACCATAGAATTGAGGGTCTATTTCTGGGCTCTCTATTCTGTTCCATTGATCTATGTGTCTGTTTTTGTGCCAGTACCATGCTGTCTTGATGATGACAGCTTTGTAGTAGAGCTTGAAGTCTGGAATGTGATGCCACCAACTTTGGCTTTCTTTTTCAATATTCCTTTGGCTATTCGAGGTCTTTTCTGGTTCCATATAAATTTTAGGATTATTTGTTCCATTTCTTTGAAAAAAATGGATGGTACTTTGATAGGAATTGCATTAAATGTGTAGATTGCTTTAGGTAGCATAGACATTTTCACAATATTTATTCTTCCAATCCAGGAGCATGGAACATTTTTCCATTTCTTTGTGTCTTCCTCAATTTCTTTCATGAGTACTTTATAGTTTTCTGCGTATAGATTCTT